TATTATCTCGAGCTACTCCGTGCTTCGGAAGGCACGTTAAGCCGTTGGTCCCGGCTGCATTTGCAGTCGTTAATACCCTCCAATCCGCATTGGGCCAGCGTGGAGGGTCATGGCCCATCCTCCTTAATCATCCATAAGGAAGGCCTGAGCCCCTGCAGTGGGGACGTAAAAGGGCTGGTGATGATATTGCTTTTTTGATTAATTTTGCATTCACAATGCCATACTGAAAATTATTCTTAATACTTAATAGATGGGAATCCCAATGGGAACCCACGACCTTTCTCAATCCGGGCGACTGGCGTGGGTTCGATTCCCATCTCAGGATGCCAGGGACCAAGTGAATTTTTTAAGCATTTTGTATTAAGAATAATTTATATTGATAGTTCTTGAATTGAATTGACTCGGTCCGATTCGAGGGGCTCATGAATCGATTCAAGAATCGATGTACCATTCCAAATCGATCTCAATAAACGATTATTTTACAATATATAATCGATTTTTCGATAAATCGTCTTCACCGTGCCACCGTTTATTTTTTCCCAGGTATCCGCATACAAACTTTTAGTCTTTGATATTTAACATCATTCGATTTACTATTCACCTTTCGTAATTTGAAATTTTGACTAATCCAATATGCTCTCTATGAATGTCGGTTCGTAAGAAATTCTTCTGCTGTGAACATGTTATTGTAAAACGTATAAATTTAAATATAAAATATTATAATAATGAAGTTTTAATGATTAAACGAAATGAAAAATGAAGCCCAAAAAGGGGTATGTATTTAATATATTTGGCAATTATAATTTTATGTTTAGGTAAACTTGCGCTTTACGCTTTACGAACTACTTTTTATATTATTTTTTTTGTTTGTTACAGTTTTTTTCTTTACCCTTTACTAATTTACCATAAAATAAATCAGTTCCCAAGCTTAGTCAGCTTTTCATTAATTCGCCCAAACACCGTCACAAGTCTTTGGTCCTGGCTGCATCCGCAGTCCTTAATACTCAATCCGTAGGCATGCATGGTGGGCCCATTGTCCCTATTCTATTCTGTTCCACCGACAGGGAAGGCCTGTAACACTATCACACTATTAATGAACCAGTCATTGTTAGTCACTGCATTGAAAATATAATTTATGTATATGTTGTAGTATGATAGTTATACTAGGAAAATCATTAATTATAATAGAATTTTAATGACATTATTATTTCACAAAACTTATTAATTTTAAAATGCAAGATGTCGAACAAAGATGTGCATTTCAGTATGTTGAAGTATATCACTCAGTGCGGAGGTTAGGCGCTGTAAGATGTGGTGATGGTGGAAAATCGTAACATACATGAGTTGCTTTTTAACCGACTTCAAAATCAAAAAGTGGGATGTTATATTTTCGACGGCGATGTATGTTGTTTTATTGTTTTTTATTTTGAATGATTTGAATGATTTTTAAATTCTTTTTTTTATTAGATAGCTTAATGGACCAGCGTGGTGCCAGTTAGATTTTATTGAAATCGAATCAGTCGTTTTCCCGTTATAACAAAACAAAATATGCTTTACATCAGATATCACCTAAATATTTGGATGATATGTTTATATCAACTAAAAAAAAAACAAGATTACGTATTTTGCATTAATTCAAAATCCGATAGGAGGATTTTTTTCAACGGATATGTATATATTTTATGTAAGTATGTATGTTCATCGATATCTTCTTGAATTGCGAACCAATTTCTATCCAACTAGCTGTTTCCCGCGACTTCGCCTGCGTAAATTATAGTTTAGATGCCCCGCGTATCATGTTGCTTCCCGTAAGTTTTAGTCAGTTCAATAGTTTCTGAGGCTATCCAATGCAAACAAACAAGCAATCAAATCTTGCCTCTCTATAATAATTTAACTATGTTTACGTATGTTACTATGTTTATTTTATATAGACACTAATATTTTTAGTGTTACCTATTATAAAAAATATATCAATATCACTAAAAAGAATGAAATAATACCTACATATATTTGTTTTTCAAAAAATAGAACTGACTTCAAATTGATTGCTTGACGAATCGTTTTACTCAATAAAGGAATTTTTAGAAGATAAAATCATCATCATCATCAGCCCTTTTACGTCCCCACTACAGGGGCTAAGGCCTTCCTTATGGATGGTTAAGGAGGATGGGCCATGACCCAACGCTGGCCCAATGCGGATTGGAGGGTATTAACGACTGCAAATGCAGCCGGGACGAACAGCTTAACGTGCTTTCCGAAGCACGGAGTAGCTCGAGATAATAATTTTTTGGTCACCCATCCCGTGACCGACCCTTGCGAAAGTTGCTTAACGACAACGATCACGGGCCGCGGCGCTAATCCACTACGCCACCGAGCTACTATGAATTTGTTAATTGTTGACATTAAAATATAATTTTAATAATTTTTCTGACTAGATTGTTATGATAATTTGTAATTTTAATTACGTTTTAATATTTCCACACTAATAACGTTAGAATATGCTGAACATTGTACATCTGATGTAGTATACCATTTTCATGGAAATAAATATTATTATTATTAGTTTCCGCAATCGTAAAACGCGGCGTCTCAGCAGATCAGAGTGGTAAGTGTAAGTTTTACGGTAACGCGTTCACTAGTGAGCGCGTTAAGAATTTGTATGGAGATTTGTAGTTCTTGTTAGTTACCGCTAGGGGCGCTGTACCGGATTCCATACTAAAATCTTAACGCGCTCACGATTGACAGTGAACGTAAACGTCAAAAAAACTTACAATAAGCGCTCAGAAGTTGGTTAAAGTAGAAGATGAGCTCCGAGTTTCGTAATAGCTGGAAGTTGATTTATTATTAAATATTAGTAATTCATTCATAAAAAATAATACTTCAACATACTGAAATATCAAGCTTTAGAAAGTTCATGCACATTTTTCTCACGAGCATTCGTCTAATAATTTTATGGATATATTGTAGGATTATGGTATGTGATAGGATTTTAATCAAGATCCGGAGAATGATAAAATAATTTTGTAGGTTAAGTTTTTCAAATGTTTACTTTAAGACCGCAGAATCTAATCGTGCATGGTTTAAGTTGTCATTTCTTATTGTCTTGTATTTTTTTTTCCTTCTTCTCTTATACATTATCATTATATCTGTTCATGTAAGGTGTGGTCAATAAACTTTCTTTCTTTTATGTAGTTTATTTTAATGAACACTGAACGAATAAGGTTAAGGAAAGCTTTGTGGGACTTAACGGGATTGGTGATAATGTGATATAGGTGGGATGTTATTTTAAAATAATAATTAACATCCATCAACCCTCACTTCAAAATAATTTAATATTATAATTATTCATAACATTGTAAACTGGATACAAACACAGAAATATCATATATCTCATCAATTTTTAATTGAATAAAAGTCGTTTAGAAAGATTTGCATTATGTTTTTTTGCAGGCGTTAACAGAAAACACGAGAGTTTATGGTTTTCATCCAATTTAAAGTCAAATCAATTAATTTAAATAATTCCAAGTGTTACTTTTACTTTAAATACGCCAATATGCCTACTGTAATAAGTGGACAATTACATCAAGAATAAAGCTAATAGAAGTAATTCTATCCTAATTATGTATCTATAAAGTTCACTAATGACACAAGTAATTTGTTTTTAAGCAAATTATGAAGAAAACATCACTTGTATGCCCCAGTCCCCATAAAAATAAACAGTATAAAAATCAGGTCTCATTAAATTGTACACATAAATATTAAATAAATTATAGCTATTCATTATCGCAAAATCAATACTAAGCTTCTAAAACAAAACTATTGTTTATTTTATAAGTTTCCATTTTACTAGACATTTATTTAATCATTGAGATATTTAAAAAGCATCATCTTTACTGGCACTCGATATCCCCAAATTATATTATATAACTCTTAATAAAAATGCTTAAAAAATCCACTTTATCCCTGGCACTCTGAGATGGGACTTGAACCCATGACCTCTCGTAATCCGGGCGACTGCTCTCATCGCTGAGCTACCCAGGACCTAACTGGACTGACGAATTTTTCAAGTACTTGTTATTTTTTCGCTATTATGGAGCGTAATTTTATGAATGTTCAGGCAATTTACTCAAACAACCGAAAAAAATTTTTTTTACAAATATTTAAAACTTTTTATGAATGTGAAAATTTGTTCTAATTTATTGTTTTTTATCTTTTAAAATATATTCTTTTATTAGTCTGAGATGAGACTCGAACTCACGACCTTTCGCAATTCGAGCGAGTTCCAGGGAATAGTTTTTTTTTAAAGCATTCTTAATTAAGAATATTTTTAATATAATATATCATAATTATTATCAGCTGTATTAGTTTACATCGACTAAATTTAATAAAAATTTTGACATGGCATTCATATAAATAAAGTTTTATATGTTTCTCATTATCAATTCCATTTGAAGTTGCATCATAAGCAATCTTCAATTTAATATTGTCTCATTTTATTTAATATATCTGTAATATCTTAACGTAGTTTTTAAACTTCCCAACGTTTGCATAATATTCAGCAGTCAGCACCATAAGATTTTACAATGGTGTTGGATACACATTTTTCTTATCACAAAATAATTTAGCTATCCCATTTCAATATCTAGTATAGATTTTTTTAAATCGTTTGATTGCAAAATCTAAGATACTTAGTTAACCTCAACAACAACATCGAAAAAGCAACGGTAGCTCGTAATTGCACCAATCACTAACTACAAATCTCGAAACACAGTAATTTTGAAACAAGGTGCTTATTTAATTTACGTCTCACATTAAGGTATTTCGAAATAGTGCAGCCAATTTCACATTTTGTTAAAATCAATCCCATAATCGGTTACATTATTTGTGATTACGAACGTCTAGTAACTGTAACCAATTTCACAAATAACTTTATTAAAATCTTTCATGCCCGCGAGAATTCGCTTTTAAATAAAAAAAATAAGTTTTACATTTGTTTCTATTCATTTTCTGCGAACTAACTGTACTTGGTAATTGTCAACGTGCTTCATCATGATGTCGAATTTGACCCTTAAAGGTTTCTCGCCATCTTCAACAACGTGCTCTGCAGGTAGAATCTTGTAACGCTTCACTAGTGATGCAACTACTGTTTTCATAGACATCGATGCGTATTGGTAACCTGCAAAGAAATTATTTTTCAGTATGTATTTTTATTTTTTAACTCTTCTAAATCCATATTCGTGGTTAAAAAAAACAATGAATATGTAAACGTAACCAACTCGGACGATTGGGTATGAAAAAAGTTGGTTTTTGAAATTCTGTGGAGACCAAGTTTCGAATTTTGGAAAGGGTTTTTACTAACGATGAAATAAAGAACACGAAACTTGATTGATTTAATGGAAATATACATTATTCTATTGTTATTATTTTGGTGGACAGCTACAGCCCATTTGGAGGACTGCAATAACTGCTTTGCAAACGTATGGCTTTAAAAAACTAGTTGGCTCACCTTAGAGTCCATACCTGACCTTAATTGTTTTTCAGAATAAAATAAAACACTCTTTCACAAATAAAATATTATATCAAGGTATGCAGTAGATATTGAAATAAGCAGTACTTTACCAAGGCAGTTTCTGGGTCCGTAGCTGAAGGGCATGTACGCTGCAGGATGATCCAGTTGTAAATCGAAGAACCTCTCGGGCCTGAATACTTCGGCATCGGCTCCCCAGTACTTAGGGTTTCTGTGCGTCCCCCATATGTGGATGATCACACCCGATCCTTTCACGATCTTTCTACCTGATGCTGTGAAATATCGTGAATTTTTAATTATAGTTTTATGACTGCGTATATATTCATATTTTTTTATACCATGAAATTGTTTAGTTTTTTATTTATTTTGCTAATTACTTTCAATTTTATGAAATGTAAATATTTCAGTTTCTCTGTTACTTCTGTTTAATTTTTTACAGTTGTTGTAAGTAGGTTATCTTTAACTAAATTTTCGTAAATAATTTCAGTGTTTATTTGTATGACGCCGAATACTTATTGCTTGATTAACCCAAAAATATGTCTTCTTGTAATCTTTTATGTAATGGAAAGTGACTTCATATAATAATAAAGTGACTTTGTAATTGTAATTTGTATATCTGTATGAAATAAAAAGCAGTCTTTGCTAAATTTCTTGCCGTTTCGTCTCGGTACAAGTTCTCCCGGCGTAGATTTGCGAACCGATGTCCTAGACTAGACTGACTAAATGATATGGAATTTGGATTTCTTTTACATTCACTTTGTTATCTTTGAAGATCTAAGTACTTACGCAAAACGAAATCTCTATCGGCAGTCCTCGCTGTGATCGGCACAGGTGAGTACAGTCTCAAAGTTTCTTTGACCACAGCATCCAGATACTTAAATCGTGGCAAATCCTCGGCTGCGACGCTGTCCTTATCACCGAGAATTTCCATTATTCTAGAATCAGTATTATATGGTCAACGATGAAGGTTTTGAAATTTTAACAAAAATCATATTTTCATTCTATAAATATGCAATATATGTTTTAATAGCATAGTATATAATTTAAAATATACTTTAACTCTTCAGGGAGGAGGATCAAGGAGATAGCACTCTTCGATTCTCGGTCGATTCCCGGTCGGGACAATGTAGAAAAATGAATTTCCCTGTATTGTCTCTTGTCTTATGCACTTAATAATACAAGGGATTTAGCTCATAATCTTGGAATCTGAGAAATCGAAGATGTTTTCTAACAATATCTATCAATAAATAAGACTATTTGAATCGGATGTAGCGCATTTTTATTTGATTTCATGTTTCAGGCTATTTACAGGTGCCATGTTCACTTAAGTCTGAAATGTCATGAAATCAAATATGAACACGCTACATCCGTTTAAAATAGCTTGATTTAATGAATAGTGTGCGTGAATAAAGAAACTTGTTTTCCACCAGCGGCTTCAGTCGCATGGTTCCTATAGAACTGTTATTTGGATATCGATTCATAACATGTTGCTGATACAAATATAATTACTATTATAAATTGAATAGTAAACAATCGTTACTATGGTAACAGTTTAATTCCTTATTAAAACTTCCACTTCCATTTTCATTCCTTTATTTGTAGTTTTTCGAGTTAAAATCATAAAATGTAGCCTATGTTCACGGCTTATGATGTAAGTTCCCGTAGGTGAAAGAATTTTTGGAATCAGTTCATTAGTTTCGGAATCTATTAGGACAAACAAAGAATCAAATCTTTCCTCTTAATAATAAATGATATTTGCTGATCTATACTAATATAGATCAGCAAATATCTATCATTTATTATTTTTTTATCAATATTTTAATAATAAAATCTGTGCTGTTGCAGTTCAAATAATACATTCGTCGTTGCAATCAATGTTCTTGAAAATATAATGACTGTCTTATAATAATATTAATGTAGTTTATTTAGCGATACTCACTCCTGATATAGTTTCTCTTGCATGTCTTGGTGCTTGGACAGCATGACTGCAGCAAAGGATGCGCCTACTGCGGATGTGTCAGTGCCTGCCAGCAGCATTACCATTGTCTCTTCTCGAAGCTCCAAATCTGTATAGCCTCTGTCACCTCCTGAGTACTCAATTAGCAGTTCCAAGAAGGTCGTCGTCGCTGGTTTGCCGGTATCTGTAATTGATGTTAACACTTTTGGTATAACACTTATATTTATATGTATTATAGAAGATTCGAAAAATAGAAAAATTGGCAATACTGCTATATGTAACTATTGATTACAATTAATAATTTTGTTTTTTTTATACATTCCATTAAATTTAATAAAGTATTCAAGTTTGAGGCCTTCTAAGAACTTACCATTATTTTGTTCATCGATGGCATTTTTGCTGTTTGTACCATCTAATAAGGCTTGACGTTTTTCTTTTATAATCTGCAACCAATTAATTACAAGGTTGTACTTTTTTTTTTGATTATAATTATATGGACTTTAGTTACGAAGCTTAGGATTAACAGCCAGGTTTGCAAACGTCCATTAAAATTGACACGAGTTTAAAGTATAATTACTGATACAAATTTGACATCCATTAGGGCTTAAAGGTGTTATTAAACCTTAATGTACGTTTGTGCAACTGACCGTAAGTTGTGCAGATTTATAATGTTATTTAGTATTAATATTATTTGAAAGTGAAGTAGATATTTGACATTTATTTATTTATACACAACTTAACCTATTATTGCAGGTTACGTGTATAACATAATTATATATATTGCCGTTTTGAGAACTTACTCAGAGAACAACAAAATATATTATTTGTGGAAAATTTAATCATACAATAAACTGAATCTTCAACTTATCATTATAAATGTGTTGCGCTCTCACGCTCTCATTAAAATTTATTTAATGTATAAACGTACCTTTGAAACAAAACTGGTCATAAAGTTAATGTTATAATAGTATGGTTTATAGTAAGACGTGAATCTATATATGAAGTCACTATGGAGCCACGGCATAAGCGTGCGGGTTGCTACCAGCTCGGTGAATCTTTCGAAACACTTCAGGAATGGGTGGTTGTCCTGTTTCTGTATACCCAATTTTGTGCCCATTGTAGTCTCTGGAAAGAGAAAATAAAAATAATCCTTTATATATAACCATAAAGAATTTACATTACATTTACAGGGCAAAATTTAATAATACTGTTTACCAGTCCATCGGAAAGGATATACTTAATAATAAAATTTTAACTAAACCGATTGCTAATACAATAAGGATGATATTCAGACTACCTCGGTGGCGTAGTGGATAAGCGCGGCCTTGATCGTTGTTGTTAAGCAACTTTCGCAAGGGTCGGTCACGGGATGGATAACCAAAAAGTATTATCTCGAGCTACTCGTGCTTCGGAAGGTACGTTAAGCTGTAGGTCCCGGCTGCATTTGCAGTCGTTAATACCCTCCAATCCGCATCGGGCCAGCGTGGAGGGTTATGGCTCGTCCTCCTTAACCATCCATAAGGAACGCCTGAGTCTCTCCACTGGGGACGTAAAAAGGCTGATGTTGATGATGATGATATTAAATATTTATTATAAAGAAATTGGTCAACGTTAAAATATTTAATTGTAATTTAATAAGGGCAAGACGATTACTGTTAAAGCTAAGTTTTATTGTAAGTCTTACAATATTTGTTGTTAAAACAAAGAAATATTATATAAACTATTATTTATATAACATACGGTTCAGTCTATCTATTAATTTATATATATCCTTGGAGGGTGACCAAAACATTATATATATTTTAAATGTTTTATTGCTTAATTCGGCACATCTATACTAATATTATAAAGCTGAAGAGTTTGTTTGTTTGAACGCGCTAACCTCAGGAAATACTGGTTCGAATTGAAAAAATATTTTTGTGTTGAATAGATTATTTATCGAGGAATCTTTAGGCTATACAACATCACGCTGCAACTATTAGGAGCGAATAAATAATGGAAAATGTGGAAAAACTGGGAAAGTTATTCATCCTTGAGGGCTTCCGTTGCGTGCGCTGCGAAAACGGTCCAAGATACCAAAAATATATGTATGAAAGAATTATTCCTCTTGGAATGATCTAAAAAAATGTCCTCGACAAAATATGTCTATCTATTAAGATTAACTCACTAGAACCGTTTTTATGGTAAACATTCTTTGTTAAGAGTTGTATTAACGTAATAATATTAATGTATAATACAAGCCCACGCGGGCGAAGCCGCTGGCCAAAAGCAAGTTATAGATAAAATGCTATAAATAAATGTCAGTAGCTTAAAATTAGTGATTGACCTATATCTATATATATCATCATCTCTTCCAATGTATTAAAAAACTATTTCTTACGCCTTCATCCACGACAGCCAAAAAAATGAGAGCATTGTGTTAAGGGTTAATATCATGAAATGCAGTAAAAATTAATAAATAGTATAAAATGATTTAAGACTTTTTAATTATTATGAAGCTGACGCCGCGTACTCTCTTAGAATTAATAAATGTGATGTTATGTCATAAACGGCCTACCTTGGTTACTATTATAATATGAAGTAAAAATATATATTGTCACGCGCGCACAATCATGAATGTCAAATATTTTTATAATTATTCTACTGTTCCAAGAAGAGATAAGTCCATAAAACTAAAAATCACGAAAACTGGTCTAGTTTTTTTTACTTTTAAATGGTATAATTATCGCATTTTCCGGCTTTTTTATATACTCGTACATAGACAAGGCATAGATCCCGGTAAAGTTTTAGGTATTATTATTATGTCATACGCCCGTTTAATAAAGATAATAGAGGTAACAGTACTAGTGGATTTTATTCAAGTTACGGAATAAACGATAAAATATTAACATAATGATATATTATAACACGTTTTATTAGATTATTTAACTGGTTTATGGCAATTTTTCGTGGTTAAGTATCATGGAGGCCGGTTTGTTAATTTTAATAGTTGTTAAAAACCAGTTAATTAATGAAAGATGGATTTTGTTAAGATAAACAATAATTCAATCAGTTTGACAGTTACATATTAAGGTAATTTCGCCTAATAAGGCCCACTTGTTATGACAGCTGGGATGTAAAATAGCGAACAAGAATGCGTTTCAATTACAGTTCTGCATCGACTAACCATTGAAGGCAGAGGCAGGTTACAAAACGTTCGTCAAGGTTGAGGTATTTGCACTCCAGTGGTAAAAACATTGGGCCTTATTAGGTGACATTACCTTAGTTAACAGGTTTTTAAATTATTCTTCGATTTCGTAATCAATTTTTGGTTTATATAAGAGCAAAACAGTTTTTTAACCAGAAAACTATGTCTAGAAATACTTTAATATTTTTTTTTGCAAACCATAGTTACATGTTACGTAGATGTTACAACATAATAATATGAGAATCAAACTATGGACAAAATCGAAAGCAGAATAAAATATAATAACATTATAAGCTTCATATATAATATTAACAGTCATATGTGCTCCGTTCGGTCCTAGGGTTTTGCGAATCATATGAATGAATAAATATTTTATTTTACACCATAACTAAGACAGACATTTAAATATAAATGAACAGTACAATCGGCAGTCTCATTGCTGAAAAGCGATTACTTCCAGACAACCTTATGTTTTAATTTACTTAACATATGAGAAAGGTCGTAAGCGGTGTATGCAAAGTAAGCAAATAAAATACGAAATATACAATATATACGTACATACACAAGAATATACGATATCTACCTACACCTACATATTGTTTTTATAATGTTCTTTTTTAACGGAAAAAAAATCACCAAGGGTCGCATCACCCGACCTTCTCTGTCTGGGTACTGAATGAAATTATATACCTAACCTAACTAGCGGGATATAATTTCTTGCTTGTAAACCGGTAAACGGCATGATATTTTATATTATGTACTAGGATATATAATTTCATTCAGTGAAGTACTGAATACACAAAAATTTACAAAACTCTTGCACATTTTAATATTTCGTCTATAAAATTGAAGTTGAACTGGGATGTAAACGATATTATACGGTGTGACTGTAGCATTATTGTTTCATATGAGTGTCACAACATAACGAGATTGGAAGAATAAAGTGGCCGAGGGGGAACACCGATGATGATCATATTGATCCAATGAGAACTTATGATCATACGTTTTTATGGTTGGTGGTTAGACTTGCAACGAATAGTATATTCGGCCATACACCGAATATTAGCTACAAGTGTTCGGCTGGTATGCGGCGTCAACACTTGACTCAAAGGATAAAAATGCATTCGCGACAGAAATAGAAATTTTCTTGAGTATTCATAATATATTACATATAAGAAAATAATCCTTTTTTTATCAATATTGCAGCAAAATTGTTATCGGCGCCAGGAAGTAGTGTTCATTCAGGGCGTCATTTCTCTGATGCTGGGCTAGCCTATGAGAAAAAAGAAGTAATCTACTTTCTAAAAATGCAGAAAAATTAATCTTTTTACACCTTCCGCTTCTAAACTTTTGTTACGACAGCAATTCCAATGGACAAAAAATCGTTAAATTTTGTAATGCAGAAGATAATTGTGTACTCTCTGTTCTAATGACTTTCACGATCATAAGAAATATGAAAATAATATTCGGTATTTGGCCGAATATTACGAAAGCAGCCGAATAGACCGAACACCGAATATTTTTTGCATGTCTAATGGTGATGTGAGAAAGTGAAAGACCTGTGTACCCAAAGGCCTGTCTTGTGACGTTCGAGGAAGCAACAGTTAAGCAGATACACGTATTCTGTTCAGTTAAAATTAATAGATTAGCATAAAGCGAATTCTCAAAGAATTCATTTAAAAACAGTTACTTATGCCTAATTTATTGTTTTTTTGCTAAGAAACTCACCAATAACTGTTCATGTTCAGTTAAAAACGGCATTTCAAAATTTAAATACACATTCGTTCGAAACTTTAAAACATATTATGGTTATAATAAAAGTTTTATGACAGGTGAATTTTACAATTCATAAGTGTGAAGTCATGTGGGACAAGAGTACACGATCTCTTTCAAGATTAAATTTGCTAATAGCGAATTGACGTATACGTTCTTTTAAGCGTTATTATAAATGGACATTCCTGTCAAAACCGGATTTAGTTTATGAACCGTCCCACTAAAGTTGTGGAAGAAAGACTTGTTAATACATTTAAAAATAAACTCTGTTACTATATGTGTTTTAATGATTCATAATTTTTAGAGTTCGGTACTTAAAAAGGAAAAGCTTTTACAGGACTACTGACTTTGTGTATATTTATGCAAAAGAAATCAAATTCCGAGTAAAAACATTTTAATTAATTACTCGCAAACCACTACGTATTAAATATTATATATCCTATGAAAAAAAGCGTAATTACGACATGAAATTGAAAAATTCACAATTTAAGTGTTACTGCAGGTATCGGTTATAAATGTCGTAAAACATGTCTCAATGGAAGAATATATTAGTTGTGAGCAACTTATGCGATGCAAATGCGAAGATGCGAACAACATCTTTGTTATTCCGTTAAAAATAGCCTCAAACACGACGTCGAATTCAGCGCTGTGACAGCATTGAATGAACTAAAACTTATAATGACTTTTGAAGTAGGTGTTATTCTATTCCACCTTTAACATTAAGTTTCAAATAAAATGCGGTGCCTATGTTAGCGAAAGATAGAAAGAAAAAACATTCATTAGCGACATACAACATACTCGTAAATACATTTATTTAAGAGTGGTGACCAATAAGAACTCTGCCTCAACGTAAGACATAACAGTTCAGATTACTTTGTTACGGCACTGGTTATTTTGGCAAAGCTTATACATGTGGTTAACCTGTGCATGTGGATGTCGTGATAACAATATAAGATTTTTTTTTTTATATCACATATATTTACTTATACCACTAATAAAATAAATAAAAATGTGTAAAATGAAATGGAGAAGCACTGAATGTATTTCATTTTTTATTCTTCTTATGTTTTGTTTCTTTCCTTGACTACATAAAAGGAAAAAGCCTTTTATGTAGTCAAGGAAAGAAACAAATGAGATATTACTAAACCCAGTTAACGGTTGTATTCTCCGATTACTAAAATATACACCTTACCTTAAAGGTAAAGTCATTTAAGTAACTTATTTATTCAAGGTCAAAGGCTAAAAAAATCTTTTATCATAGAGCATGTATTTTCTACATTTGTACTTCTGTGAATTATAAATGTATGTGCCCTGAATAATAAATGCTCTATTATATATCACGTGAGTTGGACAATTTATTTACTCTCTTCATACGAGTACATTGAAGATTAAATTATACTTCCCATCCTACTGCAAGGAATATAAAACACATATTTCTTCTTTGTACTGAAAATTTTTCAGCGTAAAAATTATTGAAACATTATTTTTTGGATTTCCTGTAATTATGAAAAGGACATTGCTCAACGTCCATACATTGGTGGCCCGAGAGCCAAAAAAAAAATTTAGGAGAATACTTATTTTCTTGCGTGTCACTAATTAATTCTCATTATGTATTTATTATACCGCGACCGAGTTTTAGAACTTATTATCACGCAAAATATAATTCATTTTGAGGTTATAATTTGTTTGGAAAACCACCAAGAGATGGCACTCTAAGTACATGATATGATATTGATATTTATATTGTCGAAGCAAAAAAACTCAACTTTAAGAAAGTCGGTTTTTCGTTGTGATTTGTAAAAGTTTCTAAGTCAATCAATAGACAAATAAATCATTCGAATAGTTAAATAATATACCTATTGATAAGCTTAAAATTAAAAAACATATAGCTTTTTGATGGCTTTACATCAAAAGATGGCACCTTAAATACAAATGACATGATGTTAGTATGTTTACGAGAAATATAAAGGTAATGTAATAGAAACAAAGTAGTTTTTAGGATATGTCGTATGAATATCAATCTTTCTGAATAAACAAGAGTGAATTATCAACAGTTAATGAATTTAGTTTGTATAATATTCAGTTTTTATGTCCTTATGTTTAGTTGGAAAATCACCAAGAGATGGCGCTTTTAGTAAATTTAAGTTTATTTCGGTCAATTTAATTTAATGTTTTTGTGTTCGATGATTTAAAGGTTATCTAATAAAAATAAATGATCTTCTTGATCTGACGTGTAAATTACATCCATCTGACTCAATAGAATTTAAGTATATTGAATGTGAATATTTGCGAATAAAAATGTTACTGTTAAAGTACTTTTAAATATTAATTTTGGATCGCAGCTTGTCCGTGTCATATAAATATTTGATTCCAATTTAATAAATAAATTAGTAATTATTATTGAAGTATTAATATTTAATGGTATTGGGGCCATTTTCGGCGATGTCCTTAAATAGTAAAGTATCTAACATTTTATATCATTTATATGCTCGTTGAATTACAAAGTTTCCGTGTTCCCGCAGTTTTATTAATGTAAGAGTATTTATTCGTACTGACCCGTATTCTTCGTCCGTGAGTGCAATAGATTAAATGTAATTCTTAGAAGTGGCGTCTCTTTTCCTTGACTTTTTTATTTGTACGGGTTATTACACAATCATAATGCGTTAGAATCTTTTAGACCTTGGTGTTATAAACTAAGCTAAGTTATACATATATATGTATCTCGACCACAGATATATATTATGTGAATTATACAAAATTGTGATTTATTTGTGGGAAAAGTTTTTGTTCGCTTTTATATACACAAGAAAATATAATAGTTATTTGGTTAGAGTAACATATACACTAGTTCTATTTTGTTGTTTACTGTTACCTTTAAGGTTAGTTACTTTCATAGTGGTACTTTTCATTCATTGTCAATATAGCTTTTGAATTCAAAAACGCGCGGTAATCCACGGTGCACTAATTGAGTTATTCTGATATTTTACAGGATTTGCCGTACTTTGAAATTTAACCTTTTACGCAGTGTTTATTTACTCTAGTATCGATGCCTCGCCATTTTACTTGCAGTAACGTAAAGTTAGACAACTATTGGCTACATTTTAAAAGAACTAGTTATTTCAAAGACTAAAACGTTCAAACAGACCCATTACTTTTAATGACGGGTAGATCAATGATTAGCGTGCTCGGTCCGCAATCCGGTTGTTAAGAGAGGCCGGTCATAGGATGGTTGACGAAAATTTAATATCTCTAGCTCCTCCGTGCTTCGGAAGGCAATGTGCCGTTGATTCCGGTTGTGTTTGTAGTCATCAACACCCTACAATCTCCACTAGGCCCGCGTGGCGGGTCGTGGCTTTTGAATGAATGATTTCAAAGAAATATTTATCGGTATGATTGTCATATTTTTTAGAAAAATAAAAAAATACGCTTACCGCAAACTGAGTCCATAGTGTACGATGTGACGTACTTCCAGATCGAAAAGGTTCCTTTGTCGGAAGCTTCAGCTAATCTATCCACCATGATCTTGCTTTGCTCAGAGAAAATTGTGACGAACTGGTTCAAGTTTCTCAGTCCGAAGGTCGGTGCCAGAACCTTGCGCCGAGGCCGCCATATTGAAACTGGTTAACAAAAATTAGATATTTATGTTTGTGTTTACACCAACTTACAGTTTAGAATATGACAAATACCTTTTAATTCTATCTGTTAAGTTAAATATGGAGAAAAAAATGTTTAGCTAAAGTAGGTATGGGCAACCTTGGTCATGTTTTGGGCCAAACTTTAGTGTGGAAATACGTTCGCGGGCTGCGTTTTAAAGTAGTACATTTTAAAGTAGTGTTGTAGTGCTCATATTTTTTTTACGATAGATATCAGACATGAAATAATACGACAATGTTATTATAGATTTAGTTTTTCAAAATCTTGGGCTGGTTGTTGCCCACCGCGGGGGTAAACCATACTTCGCTGTATTTAATATTATCGAAAATAAAACTAATCGCTAACACTATTGTGATAGTGATGATGTTTAATATTATTTTGGAACATTAAACAATGAGAGTATTTTGATTCAATCCGGTATCATGGAAATTGATATGAGTGTAGTTTTGTGGTAGAACCATCGACCACTGTTATAAGGTCTTTAAACTCTTGACCGTGTGTGGGTACGAAGTGTCCATGTTGCACACGGCACCATGCTCAAGAGGTTAAATTGCTAGGTCCAAATAATAATAAATAACACAGGGACAGTCTTCACACGTAATATCATTGTCTATACAAATATTATAAATAGGAAATATTTGATTGTTTTGGAATTGCATCCAGGCTCCGAAACTACATGACGGATTTAATAAAATTCTTCACCTACGTGAGTGATATCCCGCTAATATTATAAATGCGAAAGTTAGTTAGTTTGTTTGTTACTCTTTCACGCGAGAACTACTGAGCGATTATGATGAACTTTGGTATATGGATTATTTTAGGTCTGAATTAACATACAGGATATTTTTTATCTCACTAAACGGTTCCCAAGGTACAATGCGGGCGAAGCTGCTTGCGGAAAGATTTTCTCTCGTTCGCTCAGTCAGTGTGTGTGTGTGACTATAATTTACGTGGATGGAATTACGAAAAAACAGCTAGCATTTTGCAAATTTCCTCAATTTAATATATAAACACTAAAAAACTCACTTCAGGATAACAATTGTGAAGGCATAAAAATATTATGCTTTTTAAGAATCTCTGTTCAATGCAGAATGAACACAAATTCTTTTGCATAGCAAAAAAAATATTCAAAAAGTTTTGCCGTTTTTGGCGGTCTTCTCGAACTTCTCGATTTTGAGACGCGTGTGGGCTATAGCCACAAATATTAAACAAATTATTATTAAGTAAGTCCTAACGGCTAAATATTACGTAATTATAAATTAAACTAATGTAACACAATGTGTTTAAATATAATAATTTTTTTCTTATGTTTACAAGTGCAATGTTTTTATTTTATAATCAGTGAACTCAAGAAACGACATATGGATAATAATTTAACATTGAGCGTTGCACACAACAATCTCAACGCTTATAATCTTAATTTTACGTTATCAAATTTTGAAACATGATAATTTTGAGATATGTAATAAAAAAAGGCAGAAAGCCATTACCAAAAATTCTTTTTTTGAAATACAAAAATGTTGTTTGTGATTATATATTTTCTTGTATTTTATTGGTAGAGCAAACCTCTACTCTATCAAACGTAATGACCCCAATTCAGGTTGCCTCAGATTCAATGTCTCGAAGTTCATTTTTGCTTATATAATTAGTTTGATCTTTCACCTGATAGAGGCACTTGTCAGTGAAAAGAAAACGAGATAAATTGATAGAAAAATGAACAAGCAAATGAGACAGAAATATATATTTTTTTTGATAATAAAAGCAATGAAATTCATAGCCAATAAAAATAAATGGACTTTTATAATAAAATTTTAAAATATTTTTTTTGCAAAAAAATATTATCTCAATATATATAACTCAAAGGTCTGACTGACTGACATAGTGATCTATCAACGCACAGCCCAAACCACTGGACGGATCGGACTGAAATTTGGCATGCAGGTAGATGTTATGACGTAGGCATCCACTAAAACAGGATTTTGATCAATTCTACCCCCAAGGGGATAAAATAGGGGATGAAAGTTTGTATGAAACTTAGTCAATTTTAAGCCGAATAGGATTTTGATAAATTCAACCTCCGTGGGAATAAAATAAGGGATGATGGAGGATGTAAATGTATTAGTTTGAACCTACCAGTACCTAATGGAACGAATAAATAAATATTCGTTAGAAATGCTGCTCAAAGTATCTTTACCACGCGGACGAAGTCGCAGGCAAAAGCTAGTCATTAATATACAAGATTACATTAGTCGTATAAAAAAATGTAATTTCTTAATTTAAGATATCAAAGGTTAGTTTAATCGTAATAGTACTATTTATTTTATTTGTTTGATTTAATATTTATGTAATTGTTTGGAATGTGCCTTTTGTATTTCCAGATATTAAAGGCTTTCGTGTCTTTGCAGTTCTCAAGACTATTCTTATTTGTAGAAAAAAATTGTTGTTTACCCTCGGCATGCCTGGTAGTGTCAGTCAGAAGAGTCAAAGTCTCACTACATTACTAGACATTACTAGATCAATACATTATAAATGGACAAAAAACTATGATCTTATAATTATCACATAATATTTTAATAATGGCAACAAGATCATTTTGAGACATAATGAGTTTAGAAGAGATGAACTATCCAGTTGATCATCTAAGTCCAAGCATTCTTTCCTGTTATTTAATCAGATCCACAGAGAATCCACAGAGAAAAAATCCACTCGTGGAATAAAAAAGAGCCTGTTACCTGTGTCCAGTCAAAAAATCGTAAAACACAGTACATTTGTAAGACATGAAAAAACTAAATTTGCCTGGATTATTAAATTTTTCGATGCCAAAATCATCATTTTCAGTATATTATTTTATTGTATAAATAATAATAATATTTATTCCAGAAATGATTTGTATTTTAAGACGTAAAACATGTAATTCACACTGTACTATTAATATATTTATATCTATACATATGTAAAAGGAGATCTCCTGACTGACAGAAAACGCACAGTCCAAGCCTCTGGTCGTAGAGACTTGAAATTTGGAGGAGTACTATTTAATATACGAATTTTTGTTACAAATGCGAAGGTAATTGTCTTTCTGTGTGTCTGTTACGCTTTCATAAATGAATGCTTGCCTAAATGACTGAACATTTTAAAAAGAAACTTTGTACACAAATACAGTTGACCTTGGAAAAGGACAGAAGATAATTTTATCGAAAAAAATGGGTTTAAAGGGGTTGAAATAAGGGATGAAAATTTATATGGAGTGTTGTCATCGTCGAAGATAACAACATGAAACTGTATTTAGGCACTGAATAGGAAGTAAATAAATATTTATTGTAGAGTTTTTAATATTTTGAATTCCACGCGGTCGAAAATTTAGTTATGTAAAAAATATGTTTACCGTTTAGAAAAAAAAAACTCGTCTTAATTATATGTTATGAACGTATAAATTAAAGATTCATGACGTCTAAAGATATATCATTTAGAATGTTTACCGGTGACATAAAATAACGTAAACGATCGGAAGCATTTTTTACAAAAAAACTAATAAACATCAGCATTATAGGGTTCTGTATGTTAAAAGAAGTAAAGTTTGGTTGTTCGTGTTCGAGATCCTTTTATTCAGAGAAAAAATATAATGTGAATATTTGCAAAAATGCACAATATAGAAATAAAAATGCAAGGAAACTGAGGAAATACTACAGGAATGAAAAGAATTATATGTTATTAAATACTACACAACTAGTCACTAACAAAAAATATAAAAATTAAAGCTTTTTTGGAATACATGTAAGAGATGATCCTAATGAAGAAAATACTTAAAAATCTTAATCGAAAGTTTAAAATATTTGTAAATATATTGAAAACCACTTGAAATTAACATTACAAGCAAAACAATATATATATATATATATATATATATATATATATATATATATATATATATATATTTACGGTTGGTTAAAGGGCCTCGACCTATGTATATTGGTCTCTCGTCGATGCGTGAATATACTCATTAACCGGTTTTTTCCTAAATATAATTAGTATATTTTACGTTTTTAACTGGTTTCGAGAAATAATGTGGCTCTTTACTACCATCACCGAAGGAAATAAATATTTTTCAACGACGCTAAAAGATTTCCGCTATTGACGTCAAATTGACTAACAGCCAGTTGTGCGGACGCGGATGTGTGTGCGGACGTGTGTGCGAACGTGTGTGTGGACATGTGTGCGGACATGTGTGCGGACATGTGTGCGGACGTGTGTGCGGACGTGTGTGCGGACGTCCATTTGTCATTACATCATCTCATTACTCATACAAATTTGGCATTTGTTAGTGCTTAAAGAAGTCATTAAACTCTAATGGACGCTTGTGGAACTGACCGTTTATCGAATAAAGGGTTGTATAAAGTTTAAAGCGTTTAAATACAGGGAGAACATACACTAAATTAGATTATAGTAGCTATTTTATTCCAACTTAATATCTATAAAATCAATTTCTATTATGTAGTTTCAATGGATTAGATGGGATTTATCTAATATAGTTGATCTTTGGCAACTTCGTCCGAGTAAAGTATGGCCTATGTACGAGTAGCAAGCGTTTAATGTCCCGCAGGTGAAGGAATTTCAAAAATCGATCGAAAGTTTCGGAGACTATTCTATGTAAACAAAAAATAATAAAATCTTCTCTTTTTATAATATTCGTAACACACTTTTACGAGTAGACTAAGTTTGCAAAATTTTTCCTGCGTTTACAATTTTTTTAAGATACTAAACACATTGTTTTTGATAATTTAACATTTATTAAGATGTCCATGTTTATTGTTCGGTTCAAGATTCAGTATCATCAAGTAGACTTGACACTGATTGTCTCAGATAATGGCAGGTTGCCAACCAACTGCCTATTTCATGACACAACATTAAAATTCTTTGATTACCTTTAACGATATGCGATTGACGTAACTCATGTTTTTGAGATTTGTT